CAGGGACCACTTTGACCAGGGACCACTCTCCAACATTAGTACCAAAAGGATCACAAATCAATTTTTGGTCAATTTTAGATTTGGTTTGGTTGTTTGGGAAGTTGATTCAGAAAACTTCCCTGCCACCCTGTAGTTGCTATCTGTACACCTAAAGAAAACCATATTTAATAAGCCTCGGTACTTATAAGAGGGTTTTGCGAGACCAGTTGCTCTCGTTGCAATGGTGTAGTAGTGGTGAGGCTGCAGACCATATTTGAGTTCCCCACAGGCTGGGAACCACTGGTTTAAATATATGCATCTTATTGTATTTATGTTATGGTGATGTCTTTTAACTGTGTTGTGCCCTGCCTCGAGCTGTGAGGAAATAATAATAATAATAATAATAATAATAATAATAATAATTATTATTATTATTATTTTACTGACACCAAGTATGACACAGAAAATGAGATATATATGCTGGATTTCGTATCACAATATCAAACACTTCCCAAGCGTTTAGGACTGTGTGATGTATTTTCGAATGTTGCACACAGATCCAAGTAAGGTGGCTTTTTGCAGTTGAGAGATAGTGATTTTATCCACATTTATTGTTTCCAAATGCCGGCTGAAATCTTTTGGCATGGCACTCAGTGTGCCAATTACTATTGGGACCACCTGTACTGGTTTATGACAGAGCCTTTGCAGTTCAATCTTGAGGACTTGATAACGACTGAGATTTCCTGTTGTTTTTCATCAATTCGACTGTCATCTGGTATGGCAACATCAATTATCTTATTTTTTTTTTTCCTTTTCCACGATCGTGATGTCTGGTGTATTAAGTTGCAAAATTTTGTCAGTTTGGATTCGACAGTCCCACAGTAGTTTTGCGTGTTCATTTTTCACTACCTCTGCAGGTTTATGATCCCACCAGTTCTTTACTACCGGCAGGTATTATTATTATTATTATTATTATTATTATTATTAYTAYTATTATTACTACTACTACTATTGACACAAAAGCACAGTATGTCACAGCTAACGAGATTGCTATGCTGGATTTCGTATCACAAAATCACAAGTTGAACACTTCCCAAGCATCTAGGACTGTGTGATGTATTTTCRAATGATGCGYGCAGATCCAAGTAAGGTGGCCTTTTGCAGTTGACAGATCATGATTTTGTCGATGTTTATTGTTTCCAAATGCCGGCTGAGATCTTTTGGCACGGCACCCAGTGCACCAATGACCACTGGGACCACCCGTACTGGTTTATGCCAGAACCTTTGCAGTTTGATTTTGAGGTCTTGATAGCGGCTGAGTTTTTCCTGTTGTTTTTCCTCAATGCAACTGTYACCCGGTATGGCGACATCAACAATCTAAATTTTTTCTTTTCCACAATCGTGATGTCTGGTGTATTGTGTTCAAAAACGTTGTCAGTCTGGATTCGAAAGTCCCACAGTATTTTTGCATGTTCATTTTCCACGACCTTTGCAGGTTTATGATCCCACCAATTCTTTGCTGCTGGTATTATTATTATTTGAAACACAACAAGATTAGTCCATAGCAGACACTCTGCTGGCTGTTGTACTGGATCACACGTTGGACACTTCCCCAGTGTCTTGGACTGTGTGATGTATCGGCGAATAATGTGTGCAGATCCCAGTAAGGTGGCCTTCTGCAGCTGGCAGATGGTAATTTTGTCAGCGCCGATTGTGGTTAAGTGCAGCCCAAGGTCTTTAGGCACTGCACCCAGTGTGCTGATCACCACTGGGACCACCTTGACTGGCTTGTGCCAGAGTCTTTGCAGTTCAATCTTTAAATCCTCATATCATGTCAGCTTTTCTAGTTGTTTCTCTTCAATCCTGCTGTCACCTGGGATTGCAACATCGACAATCCATACTTTGTTTTTAACACGATCGTGAGGTCAGGAGTGTTGTGCTCCAAAACTCTGTCTGTCTGAATCGGAAGTCCCAGAATAGCTTGACATGTTCATTCTCTGTATTATTGTCATCATCATCATCATCATCATCATCATCATCATCATTATTGAGTCTGCCAGGTCCTCACTCCTTATAAAATCAAGGGAAAGTCCTGGCATCAATGAAGACAGTGGTGACTGCCAGGAATCATTAAAGTAGTATCAACACTAAAAGGATGATTTTAGATATACATGTGTGCCTAGGAAAAGGAAACTGAATACAAAATTTGCCTATTTGAAGGAGCAGTAGCTCAAATACAACTCCCTGATTATAAAGCACATTTTTAATTAATTGGTATCTGTGTTAGTCATGAAGTATTCTAATATTCCAATTATACTTGACTGGCTTCAGTAAAACACAGAATGGAATATTTTGAAATGATTATAGCCACAAATGAAAACTGAGTTTCATTTCAAAGTAGCACTATTAATAATAGTCTTGATGACACAGCACTAGAATAAGCTGGAGGATAAATTTTAATCAAACTTTTACTTCAAATACAGCTGTGGTGGGTTGACAGATTTCTTTTAAAGACACATTATTTGAACACCACTAGGGGATGCTGCAAGTGTGCCTGTAAGCAAAATTGCGCAAGTTATTGTTTTCATCGGGAAGCAAATATTGACACAATACAGAGTTCTCCTTCACCTACTTGGAACTTAGGTCCCACTATAAAAAGACTGATTTCCAAGTAAAAGCTGTGTGAAATTCAAGAACAGCCAGTGAACCATGTAGCATGAAAAATCAAGTATTTTCTATTTCCACAAATAAAAAGCTAGCTGAAGGGTTTTTTTTCTTTCTTTTCATCACTAGCAGCAAAAGCAGGATTCAATTTATCTCATCAGTTAAACACTGTTATTCAATTTAATGAACATTTCTTTCTCGCTAATTAGTGGAACTCTGCAGTGTAGGATGTCAGGAAGTCCAACGGCGCATCTACACTCGAGAATGAATGCAGTTTGATGCTGCTTTACCTGTCATGGCTCAATGCTGTGGGATCCTGGGAGTTGTAGTTTGGTGAAGGACAAGAACTCTTTGGCAGAGAGCAAAAGACCTTGTAAAACTACAGGTCCCACAATTCCATAGCATTGAGCCATAGCAGTTGAAGCGGTGTCAAACTGCATTAATTCCACAGTGTGGATGCATCCTAAGATACACTTTTTGCTGTGCTACAAATGTCCTGTTGGTTTCAATTTCCTTGTAGCCTCATTACCTGGCTGCCCCTATGTATGTGTATTTGAGTGCGCATTTGTGGGTGTATGTACACACTTATGAATAACAATCTAAAACCTAAATATCTGATCTTGGAAGATAAATAGGCCCTGGTTAGGTCTTGGATGGGAGGCTGTCAAGAAGTACTAGTAGTTGTAGGTTATATTTCAGAGTAAAGAATGGCAAAGCCATCTCTGACTATTCCTTGACTTTGAGCCCTTCTACACAGCCATGTAACACAGAATATCAAGGCAGGAAATCCCACAATATCTGCTCTTAACTGGGTTGTCCGAGTCCACACTGCCATATATTCCAGTTCAAAGCAGATATTGTGGGATTTCCTGCCTTGATATTCTGGGTTATATGGCTGTGTGGAACTACTCTAAGACACCCCTATGGAATTTATGGGATTGCCATAGGTTGACAGGCAACTTAAAAGGCACACACACTCCCATGCCTTACTTAGAATCATATCCATAGATTTGGAAGAGACCCAAAGGGCCATTCAGTTCAACCCCATTCTGCCATGCAGGAAGATATAACCAAAACACTCCTRACCTCCAGATAGTCACTATCCTACCACTAGGCAGCATATTCCTCTGACATGTAATGACAAAGACTGGTAAMGTAAGTAAGTGAGGAAAGGAAAGACAATAAAAAAGAGGAACAAATGTATACTCAGTGAGGACAGGCAAATTGGGGGGGGGGGGGAGAGATGGAATGAGCAGAAAGAAGGAAACTATTCCTTCTGAAGAAGTCATACATAAAAATTCACAATTTGCAATTTTAGAACAGCTACAAATAGGAAAATAAAAGTTGCACAGTGTCAGTTTATAACTCATGAAGCTATCTGAATGTAATTGATGGTTCAGTTACAAGCAAATGATCAGTTAAGTGAAAGCATTCTGTTTGTTCCAAGATGTAAACAAATGCTAGTAAATATGGAACATGATACAAAGGATATATATAATAGGGTTTGTAAATCTCCCTTCACTCAGTGTTGGTAGTAGAATTGGTGGAAATGTTTCTTACACCTTATAGACTTGGCAGTGGGCCAAAAAGTTAGTATCAGAAATGTACACAGGAAGCATTACCACCAGGAACATCTGGATTCCCATCAACTGAATGTTTCTTAACAGAATTTCTGAAAACTAACAAAAACTGATAAACCAAAATATTCATAAAAATACTGATAATATTTGCAGACAGTGAGTCAGTAGTTTACAGTATGCTTTAGAATAATGTTCCCCAATCTATTAAAATGTTGACTTGGATTTGGTGTCCATTATTCAACCCAAAAGTGCAGGTTGTGTTGTAAATGAATTTATCAAACTTTTACTTTTTCTTAATCTTCAAGAACAGTGTTCTACTACAATGCATTTTGCATTTTATCAGCTTCTTCTGAAAGGGGCTATAGGGTAAACCAATTTTCAAAATATGCCATCCCAAGTATGCAAACCAAATTTCATTGCTGTATTTCAGATGAAACAACATGGACTGTTAAACAGTTTTAAAAAACCCCTGAAGACTTCACTTTGCTCTGTTGATAATATTTAATAAATTTACATATTGTTTAGTGCCTGAAATATGTCCAAGCTGCATTTTTCAAATTAAACTAAAAGAAGGCAATTTAGCTGGGGGGAAATGTAAGGAGGACTGAACCGGAAACTTTCATAGTTCTCTTGAAGACTACACTACATACTCATTATTAAACTAAGATCATTTATATTATTACCAGAACAGAGACACAGCCCAATAAAATGTTTTCTCGGGTTCTTTATACTGTACACATTATTTTTTGAAGCACATCCAGTGAGTCAAATACTTACTTCATCCATTTTCATACAGGTACCAAAATCTGCAAGCTTCAGATGTCCATATTTATCCAAAAGCATGTTGTCAGGTTTCACATCTCGGTGTATCATGCCCATGGAATGAATTGCATCAAGGGCAAGGACAACTTCAGCAGTGTAAAATTTGGCCCACTTCTCAGGCACATCATAATTGCTCATGAGGTTGACAAGATCTCCACCTGGCATGTATTCCATTACCATGTATAGGTATCGGTCATCTTGAAAGGCACTAAAAAGCTGAACCAAAAGGATGGAAAGTTGTAAGAGACATTTTAAAAACAAATCAATGTTCATTACCACTCCCCCCTCCCTTCCACATACACACATACTAAATTATTGCAGAATTAAGGCACTCTTTTCCCTCATGCCCTTTAAGAATACTTTTGGTATGGTAAAATAATTATTGAAAATCTCTATGAGTTTCAAAAAGCTCAATTTACCAACATTCAGCCAAAGAAATAAACTTCTTAAATGCCACTAAACATTTTGGCAGGAAGAACAGTCAAGAAATGAGGAAACCTTTCTCTGACTGAGGCAGCCCCGCTGGGATGAAACTATCACCATTCACAAGTAGGTAAAATGAGAATACTCTTGAGACAATATTCTCCAAGAACAAATGATATTTTCAGAATATTCTCAAAAGGATTATACGATAACAATTTGTCCTGATGTGGGAATCCCGACAAAAAACAAACATCATTTTTAAAAGTAAAAATAAGTAAACAATCTTTTTTTTAAAGTACTGGTATCAATAATAGAAAACCTTCAATGCCACCAATAGAGACTTTTCTATGCAGAGCAAGCTACTTCCTGCCTGTGGATCTAGGCAGAGACAGCTTGGAAAACTGTCTCTGCTGCAGAGCCCACAGCCTGTCTGGAATATATTTAATGAAATTTAAAGGGGAAAATGCCCAGATATTTTTCCTCTAAAAATAACTGAGGATATTTTCCAAAAAGCTTAATCTTGAAAATTTTCCTATTCCAGAAACATCGTAGTCTATGGCTAATGACATACTTGTAGCTGATACAGAATTTCTGATGCCCTATTCCTTCTGGGCACTGGCTTTATGTGGCAGACTCAACAGCAAATGTACAAAGGAGGAGGGGAAATTTTGCCAACCACCTCCTTTGAGTTTATTTTCCGATAGCCTCCAATAATATAATAATAACAATATAAAATATTTTCCTGGTTGAATGAGCTACTACAATAATATGAGGTAGTTTCTAGGTGGACTAGGCTCCAGAGTGACCTCTGCTCTTTGAAGCTCTAAAAGAAAATATTTACAAATTGCATGCGTTGAATTGTTGCCAGTCTTATTATATACAAACAAATGGAAACTGAAGTAATGTGGCTTTGTTTTCAAAAGAAACTATGATATTTCTATACAACAGTCTGCTGCTGGATCTATTCCTTTTGAAAAGTATTTATTATTCTGGACACTTCTTGAGATGTGGAAGATTCTGGGGTACTACAATAGCAGTACTATCATGCAAGGATTTAGACTTCTGTTTAATATAACACTACTCACATACCCCGAAATTAGAGTGGTTGTGGATAGGATTCTGCCGGGGAGTGTGTGATCTTTAAATGGAATTTTAATTGTATTTATTATATTTTAACTATAAATCCACACAGTACTGTTTAATTTTTGTACTCACTTTGTTTTAAAATTGTGTGTTTATTAGTTGCCTCAAGTCTCCACCATGGGGAGAAAGGCAGGATATGAATAAAGTAAATAAATAAATAACAGCAATACAGGAATAGAACTGTGAAACTACAACCCTCGTTTTTTTTTAAACTGTGTCATTATCAGTGCTTTGAAAACCTATTTTTCCAGTTTAAACAATGATAAACAAGTCACTAGGTAACAATACAACTTTTATACATGTTTCTAATGAAGAACAACACCCTGCTATAATGTTATAATGAAAGTCATCCTCAAAAATTAAACACTTGCATTTGAATATTTATAAAGGAAGGCAAACATAGATTTTAAAGTAGCTACAGGGGAATTTATTAATATAAAGATAAGGGTAGGTTTTACTGAGATATTAAGTCCAGACTGAGTGGTGTCGGAAGTCATGCATGTTTAAAGTCAGATGACTACATCTGAAAGAAACATATACATTGCAACTTCATCTTAAGATGAAGCCCCCCTCAGAGACAAAATAATAAAATTAGATAAACACTATTGCTTGATATTTTCAATAGTCAATTTAAAATTCACATCTGATTACAAAATGTTATGCAGGTACACTGTCCTTACCTGAACTACCCATGGACTGTTGGCGAAGGCCATAATATCTCTCTCCTCCCAGAAAAAGGCTGAGTCTGATCTTTTGAGCATTTCAAATTTACTAAGAAGTTTCATAGCGTAAGCTTTCTGTGTTACTTTATGACGAACCTGCCAAGAAAGAAACAATTTGATAAGTTTCCCCCCCTTAATTAATATCTTTATAAAAGGATTTAATTAAGTCTTGGGTATTTTTATCTTTGAAACTCAGTAAAGAGTAACACAGAAGTCTAACTCTACTTTCATCAATAATAGATGTCACCATATAAGTACTGCCAATAAACAAGTAAAGACACATAATGTAGTTTAAAACATGAACAGTAATGAAGAATATATAATCAGTTAAAAGAGCATTAACATCCATTTTAAAAGCATGCATATTAAAAGCAATGAATCCATAATTCAAAAGATTTGGATAGGCCTACTGGAAGAGAGAGTTCTTATATGCTGTATTAAGGCACCATCCACAATGACCATTTAATGCAATATGAAGCTAAATTCAAACCGCCAAAGCCAGACAACTCCCCCAAAAGTGCATGAAATAAGTACTTAATGTGTATTAGTGCTCTGTGGTTTGTGTCATCACCATATGGGACACAAACTGGTTCCAGGATTTCCTATGTAATCATCTGCACAGCAAAACCACTTTTTTCACTACACGATTGAAACTGCTTTAAACAGTGGGTGTAGATGGGGCCTCAGACAGCTATTCAGCTGTCAAAGCTTTTCTGTATTTTTGAGAAATAGGCTTAGAAACTCAAATTCAAGTGAAAAATCATGTTCTAACAAAGGAAATATCTCAACAATGGTTTTCACTGATTGGCAAGAAAATCCAAACCACAGTTAGAAATCTAGGCCTTATCTCAATGCTATTCAAACTGGTGGTCCTCTGCAAGTTTCCAGGGGGAAAAAAGAAAGGATTATACCCAGTAGGCAGAAGTATGGATTTCTCTAATGCAGACACATTAGAGGATAAAAAACTGCCAGACCCTTCCACATCCGATTCCTTAAGAAGCACTGCCTTATCATTTATCCAGGCATCCATTGTCTCTCACGTCATTAATTTTTACCCATAAATTATTTATTAATTTCTAAGAATGCATTCTCAAACAATACTGAAAGTAATTCAAAGCCCAAAAAGGAACAAAACACACATAAATACACACATACACACTAATAACAAGGCAGGAGTCACTAATTGCAAACTATTGGAAAACACAAGTATTTATTTATTTAGGTTCTTGTGGGTTTTTTCGGGCTATGTTCTAGAGGCATTTCTCCTGACGTTTCGCCTGCATCTATGGCAAGCATCCTCAGAGGTTGTGAGGTCTGTTGGAAGTAGGAAAAATGGGTTTATATATCTGTGGAATGGCTGGGGTGGGGCAAGGAGCTCTTCCCTGCTGCAGTTAGGTGTGAATGTTTAGTTGATCACCTTCATTAGCATTTGAAGGCCTGCCTGAGCCTGGGAAAATCTGTTGCTGGGAGGTGTTAATCTGTGCCTGGTTTTTTTCTCTGTTGTTTAGCTGTTATAATTTTAGAGTTTTTTAATACTGGTAGCCAGATTTTGTTCATTTTCATGGTCTCTTCTTTCTGTTGAAATTGTCCACATGCTTGTGGATTTCAATGGCTTCTCTGTGTAGTCTGACATGGTGGTTGTTGGTGTGGTCCAGCATTTCTGTGTTCTCAAATAATATGCTGTGTCCAGGCTGGTTCATCAGGTGCTCTGCTATGGCTGACTTCTCTGGTTGAAGTAGTCTGCAGTGCCTTTCATGTTCCTTGATGCGTGTCTGGGCGCTGCGTTTGGTGGTCCCTATGTAGACTTGTCCACAGCTGCATGGTATACGGTAGACTCCTGCAGAGGTGAGAGGATCCCTCTTGTCCTTTGCTGAACGTAGCATTTGTTGGATTTTCTTGGTGGGTTTGTAGCTTGTTTGTATGTTGTGTTTCCTCATCAGCTTCCCTATGCGGTCAGTGGTTCCCTTGATGTATGGCAGGAACACTTTTCCTCTGGGTGGATCTTCATCTTGCTCTCGTGGCTTGTTCTTGGTCTTGCAGCTCTTCTGATGTCTGAGGTGGAGTATCCATTGGCCTGTAGAGCCCAGTTGAGGTGGTTCAGTTCATCTTGGAGGAGGTGGGGTTCGCAGATTCTTTTTGCACGGTCTGCCAAGGCTTGAATGGTGCTTCTTTTTTGACTTGGGTGATGGTTGGAGTTTTTATGTAGATATCTATCTGTGTGTGTGGGTTTTCTGTAGACGGTGTGACCCAATTGTTGATCTGGTTTGCGGATGAATAGGACATCTAGAAAAGGCAGTCTTCCTTCATTTTCTTTTTCCATGGTTAACTGGATGTTTGGGTGGATGCTGTTAAGATGGTCCAGGAACCTGTTGAGTTCTTCTTCTCCATGGCTCCAAATGGTGAAGGTGTCATCCACATATCTGAACCATATTGTGGGCTTTTTGGTTGCTGTTTCCAGGGCTTGTTCTTCAAAGTGTTCCATGTAGAAGTTAGCTATGACCGGGCTGAGAGGGCTCCCCATAGCTACTCCATCTTTCTGTTCGTAGAATTCATTGTCCCACTGAAAGTAACTGGTGGTAAGGCAATGGTGAAACAGAGCCGTGATGTCTTCTGGGAACCTCTGGTTGATGAGTGCCATGGTGTCTGCTACCGGGACCATGGTAAATAGAGATACCACATCGAAGCTGATCAGTTTGTCGTTTGTATTTAGCTTGAGATTGCTGATTTTTTCTATGAAGTGGGCTGAGTCCTTGATGTAGTGTGTAGTGAGCCCAATATGGCTTTGTAACTGTGCAGCAAGAAATTTTGCTAGGTCGTATGTGGGGGATCCAATGGCACTCACGATGGGTCTGAGTGGGGTGGAGTCCTTATGGATTTTTGGGAGTCCATAAAGCCTGGGTGGATGGGCTTCCGATTTACATAGCTGTTGTCGTATGTCAAAGTTTATGGAGGAGTTCTTAATCAGGGTGTTGGTTTTCTTGGTTATTTTGGCAGTTGGGTCTTGCTTGAGTTTTTTGTATATAGTAGGGTCCAGGAGTTTTCTGATCTTATCCTTGTATTGTTCTGTATGCATGATAACTGTGGCATTCCCCTTGTCTGCTGGCATAACGAGGATATCCGGATCTGAATTCAGTTCTCTGATGGCTTGTCTTTCCTTCCTAGTAATGTTACTGGAGGGAAGTTTTGCCTTTTTCAGGATCCTTGCTGTTTCTGCTCGTACTTCTTCTGCTTCCTCCTCGGGGAGGCGATAAATTGCTGATTCAACATTGGCAATGATGTTTTCTACTGGGATCCTGGTGGCGGTTACAGCAAAGTTTCCTCCTTTCGCTAGTATGGATACTTGGTCTTCAGAGAGTTGTCTGTCTGTCAGGTTGATGATGGTCCGTGATGTATCCAGTTCTGGTTTTGGCTGTTGCTTTTGGCGTTTGTGGAATTTTTGTTTTTGTCTGTTGGTGTGGACAGCCATGTTTTTCTCCATTTTCCTGTAAGTGAGGTTGTCTATTTTGTCCCAGTCCTGGGAATTCATCTTCTGGCTGATGTTGATATGGAGGTGCAGCAGTTCCTTGTCTTTGTTTGCGAGTTCTTTGCGGATGGTGTGAATTCTCTCTCGTAAGAGGTTGCGTTCTAGGCGGTCATAGATCCGATGAGCCTGTGGTGTTTTGAAAGTCCTTTTGGCTGCGAGAAATTGTGGGATGGTATCTGTGTCTCTGCAGCGTAGAAGGAAAGTCAGGGAGCACAGGGTCACACCGTCTACAGAAAACCCACACACACAGATAGATATCTACATAAAAACTCCAACCATCACCCAAGTCAAAAAAGAAGCACCATTAAAGCCTTGGCAGACCGTGCAAAAAGAATCTGCGAACCTCACCTCCTCCAAGATGAACTGAACCACCTCAACTGGGCTCTCCAGGCCAATGGATACTCCACCTCAGACATCAGAAGAGCTGCAAGACCAAGAACAAGCCACGAGAGTCAAGATGAAGATCCACCCAGAGGAAAAGTGTTCCTGCCATACATCAAGGGAACCACTGACCGCATAGGGAAGCTGATGAGGAAACACAACATACAAACAATCTACAAACCCACCAAGAAAATCCAACAAATGCTACGTTCAGCAAAGGACAAGAGGGATCCTCTCATCTCTGCAGGAGTCTACCGTATACCATGCAGCTGTGGAAAAGTCTACATAGGGACCACCAAACGCAGCGCCCGAACACGCATCAAGGAACATGAAAGGCACTGCAGACTACTTCAACCAGAGAAGTCAGCCATAGCAGAGCACCTGATGAACCAACCTGGACACAGCATATTATTTGAGAACACAGAAATGCTGGACCACACCAACAACCACCATGTCAGACTACACAGAGAAGCCATTGAAATCCACAAGCATGTGGACAATTTCAACAGAAAGGAGGAAGAGACCATGAAAATGAACAAAATCTGGCTACCAGTATAAAAAAACTCTAAAATTATAACAGCTAAACAACAGAGAGGAAAAAACCAGGCACAGATTAACACCTCCCAGCAACAGATTTCCCAGGCTTAGGCAGGCCTTCAAATGCTAATGAAGGTGATCAGCTAAACATTCACACCTAACTGCAGCAGGGAAGAGCTCTTTGCCCCACCCCAGCCATTCCACAGATATATAAACCCATTTTCCTACTTCCAACAGACCTCACTACCTCTGAGGATGCTTGCCATAGATGCAGGCGAAACGTCAGGGGAAAATGCCTCTAGAACATGGCCATATAGCCCGAAAAAACCTACAAGAACCTAGTGATTCCAGCCATGAAAGCCTTCGACAATACATTTATTTATTTATTTATTTATCATTTTTATATACCACCTTTCTCAGCCCAAAGGCGACTCAAGTAACCAATGATAGCACAAAAACTGTAGAATGTACCAAGATTTCAAAACCTAACTAGCCTTTTTCTTCTAAACTTGTGTCTCCTAACAAATTGAAAAGGTTTCCTCAAACTCATGTCATTGGGTTGCATCCAGGTTTACAAATGTGCAGGTGTCCTCTCTTCTCTCTCCAGTGAAAGTATAAAGGAAAGCTACTTTGTTGAACCAAGAACCATGACAGCACTAAAACTGTAGAGTGAGCCAAGATGTGCAAAAATCTAATTTGAATACTTCTTTTAAGCAAAGGTACAACTCTTATTTTAGAAAGGATTTTTAGTTCTTAGTTCAATCCAGCAGCTTTCCTTGATACTTTCACTGAAGAAGAGACGGCAGAGAAGTCAACATCTTCAGTTACACCATATTTATATCTGAATTTAACCTCCTGGCACAAGTCTTTCTGTTATTTCTTTCTGTTAATAGTTCATCAAAAAGATGAACTTTGTAATGAGTCCTAAGTTCTTGAAGTGCTTTAAAAGATAAAACAGCACTGATATGTGAAAGTTATTACACTAACTTTAAAATAGCTTGCAAATCTTCTTGCATTCCAGTGCCATCTGTGACAATGAAGACAGATTTAGAGCACCACGTCCTCAATGTTGCAAAAGGATAAAACATGAGAAATGGAGCAGTCATCTATCTTTTTACAAAATAGAGCCAGTATATAAAAATAAGTAGCAGACATTAATTTTATCAGGGACTGGATCCAAAAGCAAACTTAAGATCAAGAATCTGCTACATTACGGTCATGGAGGGAAGCTCATCAGCAATATGCTATAATCCATGTAAGTTTTATTAAAAGATATTATTTCTTTGTATTTTTTTTTAAAAAAATATTGTAACCTTACTTTCCGGATATCCCTTATACAGCGTGTTCACACTTGGAGGGAAATGGAATGAGGATACTTATTCACTTCCGCTGGCTTCCCGCTACACAGCAGTGATACCAATTTCTCCCACGAAAATTCCCCGTGAAAGTTACATGCCTTTTAACCTTACTTTCTGGACAACCCTTGCATTTATGTCTTTCTGATCGTCTGAGGTATACCTCCCATAATACCTCATCATGGGCCATTTGGACATTACCAAGTTGCCTATGCTGCAGAATCAAGCAACAGCTTCCCAGCTATCTACTGCAGGCATTATATTTATTTTAAAATGTTACAGCCTCCCTTTCTATATTGTAACTATAGCAACTGACAGGTTTTACAAGCTGACGATACTGTAATTTTTATGGATCATTATGGCACTTTAAAAAAAGAAGAAACAAGGCATTTCATTGGTTACTCGTCAATGGTTTGGTTATGATGCTGACTTAATTGGTGTGGAACTTATTTAAAGACCTCTGAATGAAGGCTGTACAGCACTGATGACTTATTGCCGCCTTTTGATATAGGCACATGAGCAAGAGGAAAAAATTGCAACAGACCTGATGCTGTGCTCCAAAATTGGTCCAGGCATACCCTCCTGTCATGTTTCCTCCAGTAAAAAGTGATGTAAGAACTATTATAAATTAGCTCTTGGTCTAGCGTGCTGTCACATTATATCTCATTTACTGAGAGTGTCCCTAACACACAGAGCACCCATCTCAAAAGAAATATCCTGCATCATAAGACCTAAGATTTGTTCCTGTTTGTTCGCATACACAGTATTCGAGTCCTAAAATTAGGGGGGAAATGTTCAGAATCAGGCAGGCAAAAGTACCGAGACCTCAAGGTTTATATACAGTCTCTTCAAAACTATATTGCTCTCTACAGTTCTCTTTCATAAGAGTCTACTTTCAAAGGAACTCAAGCCTTTTCTAACTTCTAACACTGTACTCAAATAGTACAGTGCAATCAAGCTGACTCAAGGCTTAACTGTCTTCTAACTTCTAAAACTGGCCTGTATGCTAACAGACTCATGCCTTAACTGTCATTCCTCAACTGTCATCATGTTTAAAAATGCATTTTAAACAGTCATGTGATCTACAGCCCCTCCCATGGCCTTAATTATATAGAGCTAAGGAAACTGAAAACCAAAGAAGACATACACTTCAGGAAATAAAATGACACATTATAAACAGACAAACCATTAAATAGAGGAGGCTTGAGAAGATTGCTATCTCCAACACTCGGTCCTCCAGCGCAATTCCATGGCCAACTTCTGCCAGAGGTTCACCACAGATATTTTGGAGGAAGTTGACCATAGGCACATTATAATATTTAGAGATTCCTACAGAAACCATATTAATCAAATCTGTGAATAATCAAATATGCAAAAGTGAAACTCTTGGGGAAAACCAAGAGTCCCTAATAGTTTAAAAATATGTGCTTCACTAAATATTCCCTGAACCTTGATGAGATGGTTGCTTGATTTGGGATATTGAAAAATCAACATTAATACAATCTCATGGTGGCAGTTTGGTAGGCTCTAAAATTTTGCTAAGGCATTAGGATGTTAGTAGCCAGGAGTGTGGGATTAGTTGCCCCCAGTTCAAAATATTATTCTAGCCTGAACTCATCAGATAAAAATGGGTTGCTTATTTGTAACTGTTATTTGAAAGGTCATCTGTGAACTCACACATACACACAACACCTGTATGTACTATGCACTCTACCATTTTAGAACTTTATAGTACTGAATGACCATTTTGCTGCTTCTAGGATGCACATTTAACCTTGTTTCCTGTTCAGTCTTCAAGGATGAAGCAGAAGCCCCAGAATAAAGGAAATACAGGACATACCAGCAGGGTCAAGAGTGGACTGAATGAATTCACAGAAGACAGCTCATAGGACCACAGGCATTTTTTTTTTTTTTTTTGCAATATGTGCTTCTTATGGTCTCTGTGACTCATGCAGAGGGAAGACGTTTTATCAGAGGAGAAGTGTCATGCAAACAGCAACCTCGGAGTTCCCTATCTAAAGTCCTTGTGTTCTTCAGTCCTGGAATCCAATGTATAATACCTACTGAAGACTGCTGGTTAGAAACAGGGTGTTGTTCTGGAGACATAAGGAAAAGGAATGCTCTTGAGGAATGTCAAAGAGGCAACTGATGCTCTCAAAAGCCCCCAAAAGCAGCCTCATTTTAAAAAATCGAGCCATTAGTTATTATTAATGATTTAAGAATTTCCCAAAATGAACCAAAAGTATCCAACACACATACACACAATAAAAAATAAAAACAAATGCAGATTGTAACAGTAAGAATATCAGAACAAAGAGAACATTAAACGTAAATTTGAAGTCCTAGCTTTCTGACCTCGAGGAAAAGTGATAATTTTAGGAAGCCAAAACTTGCATGCAAAAATATATTCTGTTACATGGCAACAGCAGCTGGACAAAGATTATTAAAAATCTGTATTTAAAAAGAGAAAATTGACAAGTTGCTTATCTGCAACTAAGTCTTTAAATGGTCATTAGTGAACTCACAGGCAAGAACTCTTATTTAAGCATTTTGGAAGAAACCCCACTCACTCCCAGCACACTAGAAGTTCCCCACCTAAACTCATAGTTCCCTGAATCTAAGCAGTAGCCAAGATCTAAAGCAGTAGCCAAGGTTATAAGGACAGGAAATACATGATGAGAGGAGTTTACAAACGACCACATGACGAACTACAGTGACAGACAGGCAACCTTCCTCCTTCTTTGTGGTTTCCGTAAATCACACAAATGGGAGATTAGCAAATTACTATCCATAGGAGGAGGGTGTGTCATGCCACACAGGAAAAGAGCACAATCCTCCCAATGTGTGCTCTGCTTGAGATCTCATGACTGGTAAAAGTGAGAGATAAGCGTAAAAGTCTAAGACTGGGCAGCAGCTTTATAGATGTCAGTCAGAGGGACCCCACTCAAGAAATCGGCTGATGTCGATTTGCTGTTTGTCTGCAAATTAATAAGCCAGACAAATGTCTGCTGCAACACATTTTGAAATACACTGCGGTGAGACAGGAAGTCCTTTCCTGGCAGCTTAGTAACAGGAAAAGGCCTTTGTGCCTTCCTGAAAGATGCATTCCATGTGGACAATTTTGGAAATTGTTTGGAAAGCATAGTGGGTCCAGAATGCTATGGCCAGAATGTCAATCAGGATCAGTTATGGGGACAATATAACTCCCCTTGTTCAACAGCTGTGCTGACCACTGGTCCATTTCTATGCACAATTCAAATCGTAAATTTTATCTCTGAGCCAACTTAGGAGAAAGGTGGCATACATCCCGTATAGACTACTGCAACACTCTCTACGTGGGTTGCCTTTGAAGACTGTCCGGAAGCTTCAAATGGTCCAATGCTCGGCAGCCAGGTTATTAACAGGAGCGGCACTCAGGGAACATACAACTCCTCTGTTGCGCCAGCTCCACTAGCTGCCAGTTTGCTACCGGGCACAATTCAAAGTGCTGGCTTTAGCCTATAAAGCCCTAAACAGTTCTGGCCCGAACGGATCTCCTCCTATGAACCAGCTAGGACGTTAAGATCATCTGGGGAGGCCCTACTCTCGGTCCTGCCTGCATCACAAGTACAGTTGGCGGGGACGAGAGACAGGGCCTTTTCAGTGGTGGCCCCCCAGCTGTGGAATGCCCTTCCTACAGAAATTAGATCGCATTGGAAATGCCAAAGGACAGCTGACAAATAACAGCGACAAGCCCTTGTCCGAAAAGGAAGTCAAGGTTTAGGAGAAAAGGAAAAGGCTGGGCTACTGCTAAAATGTGACAGCTCTAGAAGGCTCTGAATGATACATTGCTCAGTTAGCACATTTGTGTGAGCCCTGATGACAAAAAAGAAAGAACTTCAATTAAATCAGAGACATTTAAGAGAAGTTAAATTTTCAGAGTATGCAAAAATTTAGCAGCGTCTCATAAATCCTTACCAACTGTACTTCACCAAATGCACCTCTTCCGATCACTTTAACAACTTCATAATCTTCTGCTTTCATCTGGAGACCACGGATCTTTCCGACCTCTTTCTCATCTGAACAGTTGTAGAGAATGTCATTATAATTTACAAGAGCAGTGGAGTACAAACACTAACAATGTTTTGTTGTCTAGGCTTTCAAATAAGTTAACATTTTACAAAGATATAACTTTTTAATCTCTTCTTACAGAAAGCACAATCAAGAACAATCTACAATGACCACTTGTACTACATATATATTTTTCTCTGTATTATTTGCATACTACAATTCAGTTAAATTTGACAGCGTAACAAAACTATTTTAATTAGAAAACCAGGGCTACAATTCTATGCAAGCTTAATTCCTTATTTTAATGTTACAGTTTACAATGGTTAGGATTCAGTGGTGTATTTCAGGTGGATCACACTTCTTCCAGTAAAATTGGCAACACACACGCAAGCGCCTCAAATACTGAACAAGTGGTTCTCAGCCTGTGGGTCCCCAGGTGTTTTGGCCTATAACTCCCAGAAATCCCAGCCAGTTTACCAGCTGTTGGGATGTCTGGGAGTTGAAAGACAAAACATCTGGGGACCCACAGGTTGAGAACCACTGCTCTAAACATCTGTTCCACAAGACTAGAAAACACAAGGACAGATTTTGTTGCCAGAGAGGGATACAAAGAGAGGGGAAGAAAGTCCTAATTCATCTGGCATTGGGACAGGGAAGAACAACCACTAAATACCAATGCACATCAGAGTACAGAAATATGTTGGCCAACAGAAAAAAGCAAACTGACCATGAATCAAAACACACCCACAAAAGGGAACAAAATATCAAGTCTGAACATTCCCCAGTGAAGCAAACTAGCAAAACAAAAATAAAACCTACATGGAGCTTCTTTGGAATATCATTAGACTCTTGCTGATTCACTGAATTAGTAAACAGATTTGGCCAGCAGAGCTCTTAATAAAATGGTGCCTCGGCAGAAATGTAACTTTGGCGTTTTGAATTATTAGGTTGTTTGGTTGAAGAGTTGCTCAAGATGCAATGCTCCAAATGTGGCATATAAAAATAAAATAATCATCTTGGCTTTTGATCTTATAGCAAAGTACTAGACACAAAGCCTAAAGTTTTTGTAAAATACCGTATATACTTGAATACAAGCCGAGTTTTTCAGCCCATTTTAGGGGGCTTATATTCGGGTGAAGGGAAAAAAGCAGAGGAAAAAAGGATCTGAGGTCGGCTGGTGGAGTCCCTGGCCTTGTTTTTGCCTCTACGGCTTTCTCCTCTGCTGTATCTGTTGTGGAGGCCTCCTTTCGGAAAAAGTTACCGTACACAAGGTGAAAGAAAGAGAAAGGGAGGCATGCTCATGGCAAGACGAGCAGGGAGGTAAACACGTGCTGTTGTTTTCTCCCCACTCGCCATGCGCACACCCTCTGGAGCCTCCATTTCTGTTCATCTTGCCACACACAGGTCTCTATTTCTCCTCTCACCACATGCATAGAGATCAGAGAAGAGGTGAGAGGAGAAACAGAAACGTGCGTGTAGCAAGACAAGCAGGGAGGTAGGTGCACATCTCTGTTTCTCCCCCACTCGTCGCACGAGCAACCTGTCTGTTCTCTACACAGCAACCCAGCTGGGTTGCTGTGCAGAGCAGAGGGCGCGTGCACGGTGAATGGGGGAGAAACGGAGGCATGTACCTACCTCCCTGAGTGTGCGCAGCAAGACACGCAGGGAGGGAGGTGCATGCCTTCATTTCTCCTCCACTTGCCCCATGTGCAGCTTCTCTGCTCTCCACACACGCGGTAAGACAAGCGGGGAGCAAGATGCACCCCTCCTTTTCTCCCCTATTCACCCCGTGCACAGCCTGTCTGCAAGCTGGGTTGCGTACACTGCGAGTGGAAGAGAAATTGAGGTGTGAGCCTCCCTCCTTGCCCACCTTGCCACACACACTGTTTCTTCTTCTCTCACTAGAAAGGGAAGGTGGAAGATGGCCTTATCAATCATTGACATTGAGGCTAGATGGCCACTAACAGGGTTGTTTTGATTGTGCTTTCCCGGCTTGAAGGCAGAATGAAGCAGGTTGGACTAGATGCCCAAGGAGTCTCTTTGAACTCTATTTATTATTACCAATCATTGATATTGAGTCTAGATGGCCATCTGACAGGGGTGCTTTGATGGTGCTTTCCCTGCATGAAGGCAGAATGAAGGGGTTGGACTAGATGACCTTTAGAGGTTCCTTCCAACTTCAGGATTCTATGAAAGAAGTCTTAATCCACCACAAGCCGAACCTGAGCCGAAAGTGTGTGATGCTGCAGCTGAAAAGGCTGTGTCAATGGGAGAAGCCTGAGAGAAGGCAAAAGGGATCTGATATGACCCTTTGCCTCAGCTGTTTTTAAATTGCTTTTAATAATTATTATTTAATGCAACTGTTTGTTTTAACTTATTGTACAATGCTTAGTATTGTCTTTTGTTAAAAATTTTAATGTTTTTTTTGTTTATATAGGCACTGAATGTTTGCCTGTTACTATGTTGGAAGCCATCCTGAGTCCCCATGGGGAGATAGGGCAGGATACAAATAAATTATTATTATTATTATTATTATTATTATTATTAGTTATTGTTGATACCATATCGTTTTTGTTGTCCCTCCTTTTCCACTTACAGGACTAGTTTACTGTTTTTCTTTGAAATATGGTTAAATTCAAAAACATGTAACCTACTGATGCCTCAATTAATGTAATTTTATTGGTATCTATTATTATTTTGAAATTTACCAGTAGCGGCTGCATTTCCCACCCTCGGCTTATACTCAAGTTAATGTTTTCTGAGTTTTTTGTGGTAAAATTAGGTGCCTCGGCTTATATTTGGGTCGGCTTATACTCGAGTATATACGATAATTAAAATAAGTTTACTACTTTTTACAGGTTTCACTGTAGTTTTCATTGTCAATGAATGAAACAAAACATACCCAGTTTTAGAGATCAGGGTGAAGTCTATTGAAATGGGTAAATAAAAACAAGAGTAACTTCATTTATGGACACGTAGTCACACAAGGGAAACTTACATCTGTTTAAGAAGTTGTCAATATTCTTGTTCTTCCTCAGTGCTGGATAATCCAGATCAAGAACTAAAGAGTTCAAACTATCCTAGAAAAAATATTTTAAATAAAAGATTAGTTGCAATTATACTTCATATAAATCACTTTCCCCAATCTGCCACTTCTTGAATGGATATGGCTTCATTCAAAACTAAGCAAGCTAAAAACAGAAGAGTATATAAAAAAGAAATATACGCCTAATCTGTATTCTAATTATAAGAGTTTCATCTTTTCTCTCATATCTTTTAAATTACAATACAACTCCCATTTCAATAGGATTGGTACTTGTAGTTTCACTTATCTACATCCAACAAAATATGCCCTTTCTAGGCATTTTCAAGTTCCTCCTGCATGTCTCTATAGTACCCTTGAATTTTGAAGATCCTTCATTTCAATAGGGTTTTCTATTATCTATGCTTTTCCATAACATAAAGTGTGGAAATATATTTCGCACATATACAGAGGGGTCATATTGTGTGTGTGTGTGTGTGTGTGTGTGTGTGTGTGTGTGTGTGTGTGTGTGTGTGTGTGTGTATGCAATATAAATAGCAGTTACAAATTCATTTTTACACACCATTTAAAAACAAACTGAAAAATGAGGCACCTAAATCCCCCACACACTTGATACTGCAATTCTCTATAACAATGACAACTGATTTCCTTCTCATCCTTCCTGAACCCACTTTTGGATGGTTTCTAAATATCCTAGACAGGTTTTAAGGGAGACAGGGGGAAAGGGGAAGGATAGGGAATTGATTCCACAGATGGATGCAGTTCAATTTTTAAAAAGGATACTGTCAGATACATTGTTTGGAAGATTCACAATGGGACTTTCTCCTGGTGATTAAATCAGTTGTATTTTTTATGTTTCTCTCTTATTTTTTCAAGGGAAAGGTTACAATTTGCTAGTTTTTGTTGGCAGGGATTGGGGAGTATGGATGGGAATATTTCATGGGGTTATTTTTGTAATTTATTCCTTTTTTATTGTAGTATCTGTGTTTGATTATTTTTTATTTTTAATCTGTTGTTAAAATATAATAAAAATTAAGAACATAAAAGACTAATCCTAAAATTTCTGCATCCTACTACATTCTACCCCACACCGACAACTGCGTAAATGTGCTCTATATTCTGAGGCCAGGATAGCACTTTGTAATGCAACGAAGAAGTGGTGTGTATATCCATAAGAGATCAAGTTTTTAAAAAAATCAGTTAGTCTTAAAAGTGCTGCTATATTCCTTTATTCCCTTTCCTTCCCCATTACTATGCGGCAAGAGGCTAACACAGCTACATCTTTGAAAACTATTCCTAATACACGCGTTTGCTAATAATGCAGGCAGCAACCAGCCAGGCTTTGAAGCTGCAAGGCCATTAAATGCTAATCAAGGTGGCCAATTGCAACATTCACACCTGCCTCAAGCAGACAAGAGTTCTTTCTCCCACCCAAGACATTCCACGGATATATAAACCCCACTTGCCTAGTATATAAACAGACACCCCCCCCCCAACCTATGAGGATGCCTGCCATAGATGTGGGCAAAACATCAGGAGAGAATGCTTCTGGAACATGGCCATACAGTCTGGAAAACTTACAGCAACCCAATAATGAAACAATTCATAAATGGGAGGAAATCATTTTGCCAGTAAGTGCAATAAAGACGACACACTTTTGGGTTTATAACATCAGTTTCATAATTCAATTATCACAGGGACAGAAAGTGAGGTGAAATCTTCTGAACAGGGGCACAGACAGCAAAACAAACACAATGGGGGTGTTAACCTTTCTCTATGCTATCCAAAGCATAGGGAAATGGGAGAGCTGTAGTTACACTGGAAAAAAAATGCATTACTAAAGCGTTTATATCCTCTTGAAGTGGGGGGGGGGGGGAGTCCCTATAGCATGTAAGTTTTCAAAATACATATTTCAACATATGTAGAAAAATGTTATTTTAACCTACTGGCCATTCTATAAATTTCAAACTCTTGAGGTTGACATAGTAAATAGGTTTGCATGATACATGATGCAAACAAAAGTGGAATGCTGCAACACATCTAACTGTTGAAAGAGGACTTTGCCATAGTCATCTGTTGTCCTTCCTGTTTCTAAGTTAGTTAAAAGATTCACAGTGGGGAGGCCTTTAAAATATGCAGACTAGTAAAAGTTGTTATTGTAAGAATGCTGATTAAAGTTGGGTGATTGGAAAAGAATACGCAATATCTGTTATGTTTCATCTATTCTTGCTGCTGCAAGGCTGTTTCTCTTTCTCTACATTTCCACTCTGGTTTGAAACTGGGTTTTGCAACTTTTGGTTGAGATTTCTGTTTTATAATGTTTTTATATCTATGATTTGGTTTTATGATTATGTATTGTATTTTGCGCATTGGGTTTTATGCGATCTATATTTTATTGCTGCAAACCACTTTTTGGCAAAGAAAGTGGGCTATAAAATAGACATATCAACAAATGAATTATATTTACTTTGCACATTAAAAATGTAGTGCTGAAATCGAAAACAGATGCACCCAAATCTTGTAACATTTTAGGATTTTGCACATTACTTCAGCCTACTGTTTCTCATCCTGTGAGTCCCAACATATAATGGGTCATAAAGAGTGATGTTCTTTTATTTTCTGATGTAATGGGATAAGGCAGGGCTTTAAAAATAAGTAAATTCAGAGATACTTTTCTTAAAAACATTTGAGAAGCACAGCTTAAAACCACACAACGACTGTTGAGTGATTCCTAAAAGTATCACCATCCTAATCCTGAGTATATTTATTTACGTATGTCCCACTAGTTTCACTGGATTGTATCTCCATATTAACATGTTTAAACTCACTGCCCGAGGTCACAGATTTCACCAGGCAATTTGCAAGTAAAGGTTTTCAAGTTATGGCCTACTTTTCTACTACAATTATGAACCTTGATAAATGTTTGAGGGTTAAGAGATTATACAGTACAACAGCCCATCCATACTAAAGATAAGTAATCTAGTAAGAATATAACTAAGTTACATAGATTTTTAGAAAAACATTGCAAGCAGGAAATATGTTATTAAAGTGATTTCACTGTTCATTTCCTCTTTCCCTTTTTTGTAGAAGTTTAAAGCCAACCCAAACTAAAAATAGCATTATCTTGCAAAACAAATCCAAAGATATTCCAAACACAGCCCAATAGCGCATATGGGCATTGAATAATGAAAAAGCTTGGGTTTTTTTTTCCTCACTACAATTTCTTGAACTAGAATATACCACTCTTTGGTCTTCATGCAATTCCATCAGGATATTTTTTTTCAGGCTTATATACCAATGCAAATGATTTGATCCAGTTTTTCGATTCTTCAACATCAATATAACAGTACTAATGAATGTCCGAGTACAGCACAACTCAACACCAAGAAACCTCGCAGGTAAGTTTCGAAATCCTCAGTCTTTCAGGTGACTCTCTTCGGGTTTACCTTGTACAATTTGAAGATGACTTGTCTAGTCATGGAAAGATTGCAACAGAATGGTCACATTTAAAAAGGATGAGAGTTAAAGTGACTGTACCTCACACCGTGTTAATATGTTTACAAAAATGTCATAATCTTCTGGGGTATATTGTAGTTAAGCTTAATTTATAATAACAAATGGGGAAAAGAAAAAGGGTGAAGCGTATTTTGCTGTTTCTTTGAGACCAAGAACACTGAAGGATTTATGCAGTTTGACACCACTTTAGCTGATGGCTTAATGCTATGGAATCCTGGGGCTTGTAGTTTCGAGAGGCACTAATGCTCTTTGGCTATGGCTGAAGACCTTGTAAAACTATAGCTCCTGTGATTCCATAGCATTGAGCCATGGCTGTCAGGGTGATGTCAAATAGCTTTAATTCTACAGTGCAGTGCACCTTAACTGATTTATTTTAGTATGGGTTTTCATTGATATCAATCCACTTATTTGGTGTATCGTAAAATATCACTGGAAACTGCTGGTTTGAGAGGTTTTTGTTTTTTTAATGACTCTGAAAAAGACAAACTTGTTAACTTATTTAAAATTAAGATTCTTGCATAGGGCTAAAAGTCCAATGAAGATTTCATTTTAATCATGTATGAGAACAGAAATATTTTTAGTTCTTTAAATTTCTTTTTTTTTACTTCCCACACTTCATCTGCTACACTTTTTTCTTCTTACGACGTCATAAATCTGTCTATTTGCACTGCAGTCACGAAGACTGGGTTATCTAACTTAATCTGTTCTGTTCAGATGCCAATATTTTATGCATTCCTTAGTCGGAATTAATTTCTGAGACAGCTTACTGACAGAAAATCAGTTAAGAAAAAAATCCCCAAAGAAAACCATTACCAGTATCCAAAATTGTAAAATGAGTTACATAAACCATATGATAGATTCAATATAAGGAAACGCTGTGCTATTTAAGGAGAGTTGGTCTTCCAGTTATTTCAAGAACCTCAAGAGATGAGAGGAAGGTCATTCGTCTCTCCTGTTCTTGTAACACACATCTCATGAAGTGCTCTGGAGTGCAACGGAGCAGACTTCATGAGATGTGTGTTATCAGACTCATGAGGTTTTGCGGGGTGGGGAGAAGGGCAAGGAATACACTATTTCATCTCGTCCTTTCCAAAAGAGATTATGCCAAAGCAATTTTAATCACTTGCTATTCGTTTTGAGTTAAAATCCCACAGGTTAATTAAACCACCTCTTCTGAGAACATATTTGAAAGTACAGGCAATCTAGTTACAAACATCCAACTTACAAATGACTCATGGTTAAGAACAAGAGTGAGACAACAGGAAGTGAGAGAAATCTACCCCTTGGAAGGGAAATTCACCCCTATCATGGGGAAAAGGTGTCTCCACTGAAGATTTTTCACCAATCCTTGTTTCCACAACAAGCCCAATTTTCCAAAATTCAATTCTCACAGGGACCGAAAGTGAGGTGAAATCTTCTGAACAGTGGCACAGACAGCAAAACAAACACCACAGGAGTGTTAACCCTTCCTTATGCTGTCCAAAGCTTGCATGAATACATGCAGATATAGATATATAGATA